AAACCCCCTAAGATTTATCTATATATAAATACTTGTAGAAAATTAGAAATGATGGGGTGGGGGACAACAAAACAAATATTATTTACTATCAGGTTGACAGTAGTTGTTATGTGGTGTTAGAGACATGAGAGTAAAAATGAGTAAATTGTATATAGTCTTTCATGTATGTTTTTTTTTTTTTGTGAGTGTCCAGAAAATTTACTTGAAGAAAAAAAAGAAATGGCTGGAGTTTTCTTTTGGTTATGAGTGTTAAGAAGAGACAAATGTTATCACTGTGTTTTGAAAAGGTGTTGATTGCTTGTCTGATAGTGAGGATTATGTCGCAATATCAGTCAGCTGAGGTCTTGTTAAATTGAAAACAGCTGGACCTGTCACAAAAATGGATTCGGAACATTTATTTTCAACCAATAGTTATCAGTATCCTTCACAAGTGGCCCAGACAAAGAGATGAAGTCTCTGAATGAAGATAAATTGCATTTTTAGATGAAGATGACAGGACAAAGAATCATGTTAGCTATAAAATGGACCAGTACCCCAAAAAGACACACACAGAGATAAAGGCGGGCCTCAGTGGACAGGGAAGATACCTCCTCAGTGCTTCTCAAACTATCTGATATGGCGGGACCAGCATTTTTTTTCTCAATGTGTCATGTACCTGTAATATTTTGTGGTAATATTAATTTATACCGGAAATGATATATATAATGAATATAATAAAAATTAAGTATTTTCTATCTTCCATTTATTTTGCAAAAAATAATTCAATATCAAAACATATAAAAAGTATCTGTCTATATTTCTGAGATGAGGTATTATGTACCCTATCTACATTATTCAGACTATTGTTCTCATCTTTGTCGCCATATTTATTACATTTTGGCCTTTCAGTATCTGTCTCTATTTCTGAGATGAGGTATTATGTACATTATTTACATTATTCGGACTATTGTCCTCATCTTTGTCGCCATATTTATTACAACGTTTTGGCCTTTCAGTATCTATATTTCTGAGATGAGGTATTATGTATACTATTTACATTATTCGGACTATTGTCCTCATCTTTTTCGCCAAACATGTAACACTGTGCCATGTATCCTTGACACATGGCATAATGGGTAAAGGTGTTAGTTAGATCTAGTGACAGGACACAAAAGAGTGTGAGTTCAATACCTGGTTAAGGTGGTGGAGAACTTGGAGAGGGGAATTAACAGGAGATAACTGATAACTGACATCCATTAAACATAGCACATGGAACTAGAACAGTCTACTCCAGCGAGTGAAATAAAGGGTTCAGATTGACATTCCAACCACCTGAGGAAGGCTGGAGCATACAACAACCGAAACGTTGTGATAAATATGGCGACAAAGATGAGGACAATAGTCCGAAGAATGTAAATAGTATATAAAAAGTAATAAAAAAAACTTCAAATGATTCTTTAGCATGGCTTGGACACTGGCCGCATACCGGTAGCTGATGGTTTGCATACCAGCACCAGTCCATGGACTACCACTTTGAGTAGCACTGCTCTAGACTCTTCACCTCCCAACTCACCTGTACCTTATCTAAACTTTGCTCGTTTATCGAAGTAAGTTACAACCCAAGAATAAATCTGGTAGTGAAATTTTTAAGCCACAAGTGTTTGACTGAAAGAAGCTGCACCCTATCAATGAACCTGGTGTCTGGTTTGAGCTGCAACACAACAGTGTCACATGTTTGTGTGTGGTAGAGGAGAACAGTGGGTTTAATTCTTATTAGTTCAGAAAGGATGAATTATCTTAATGATAATTATTTTATTATAATTATTTGTGGCTGTATAATTAATTTTTATTTATTTATTTTTAATGAATATAACACTATAAAGCAATGATTCCCAACATGGGGTGCATGCCCTACTGGTGGGGCATCGTAATATTTTGGTGAGGATGCATAGGATGTACACCCCTTGGTTTATTATACCAACAGAATAAGGGGGCAATTAAAAAATGAGTTATTAGCAGTGAATTGTTTTCTAGTGAGTCTGAGTGAGAGTTAATGTTAATGCATGTTAATACATACGATGCATATAGAATATGCATACAATATTTTGTGTGTATGTACATTTGTAATTGGCATACAGGGTATTTCCCATCTTCCCACACTTGTGTGTCTTGATCAACAAAGCATGTCGCTAGAAGAGCCCATGTTTTGTCAGCCAATTAGTGTGTGTGAGCATTCAGTTTGCTTCCTTCACATGAATTGCAGTAAAATTTTGAATATGTAAATATTACAGGAGGGTACCAGAATTTTAGAAAACCAGAATTTTAGAAATACCAAAATGGAGCATGGCCCCAAATCGGTTGGGAACTTCTGTTATAAACCGACTGACAGCAATTTCTTTTGACAGATTCCTGGGTGAAAGCATTGTTGACAGATGCTTGGATGAAAACATTTCAGATAGATGCTTGGATGAAAATGTTGCTGACAGATGCTTGGATGAAAATGTTGCTGACAGATGCTTGGATGAAAATGTTGCTGACAGATGCTTGGATGAAAATGTTGCTGACAGATGCTTGGATGAAAATGTTGCTGACAGATGCTTGGATGAAAAAATTGCTGATATATGTACTGATGAAAACACTGTCGACAGAAGCCTGGATGTAAAAGTTTTCAAAACTAGTGTCAAACTTCTGCCTGCATTTTTTCTTTACCTTTGCATTTACCTTGGCTAATATGCATGTGATTCTGTGCTTTTTTCACATAACATTTGAGCCTTCACCACATAAAACTTTTACCAAATGGAAATGACTGGTACACAGAAGAAACACTCACATGGAATGTTACTAAAGCAGATGCTGATTGTGTCTCCTCTGCCTGACTGAATGTGTTTTTATTGATGAATTAAATGATGTAGGTTAAAAGCCAGAGTAAAAACACTGTTGACAGGAGGCTTGGATGGGAACACTATTGACAGGAGGCCTGGATGAAAACATTGTCAACAGGAGGCCTGGGTAGAAAAACTGTTTGACAGGAGGCTCAGATGGAAACATTGTTGACAGAAGGCTTGGATGGAAACATTGTTGACAGAAGGCTTGGATGGAAACACTGCCAACAGGAGGCTCAGGTAGAAACACTGCTGACAGAAGCCTAGATGTAGCTTGTTTCAAAACTGGTGTCACACTTTTGTGTGTTTTTCTTTTTCTTTAGCTAATATACATGCACCCAGATGAAAAATATGCTGATGGGAACCTGGAAGGAAATATTGCTGACAGGAGGCTGGGTGAAAACACTGCTGGCAGGAACACTGCCAACAGGAGACCTGGATGTAAATCCTGTTGACAGGAGGCCCAGATTGAAGCCCTGCCAACAGAGAGACCATATGGAAACCCTGCTGACAGGGGTCTGGATGGAAACCCTACCGAGAGGGGGCCTGAATGGATAGCCTGCCAACATGGGCCCAGATGGAAAGCCTGTCGACATGAGGCCCAGATGGAAACCCTGCTGACAGGAGGCCCAGATGTAACTGTTTTCAAAACTGGTGTCACACATCTATCTGCTTTTTTTCTTTTTCTGTGCTTTTTTCAATTGTGTATGTATGTCTTTGCCACATGTATATAAAAACAATAACAAATATGGCTTAGTGATTAAAGCAATGGAAAATAAATGGTAAATCTGAATGTTTTCATTTGTTAACCAAATTATAAGAAGCTAATAGGTATGAGATCATACCTTCATGAATGATTATACTTTATTTCTGACCTTTTTTGGTTGAATAATAGTTGTCAACTGACAATCTGAATAGCTGTGATGAGTAGTAAAGATCAACATTTTGGCTCATATTTCTTCCATCTTGATCATTTACAAGATTTCATCTTATAAAAATTAAGTCTTTACTAGCAGTACCCATGAAAATTTCATAGTTTTCCTAATGATTGAATATTTTCCATGTGAGTTCCAAAACTATTACAAGTGGAAATTCCCCTGTTGCATTATTAAATATTTGAGCTTAATAACTTTAACAAAATATTACAATAACAATCAATAAATATGAAATCTGGTCGTTATTTAAAGAAGTAAGAGGGTACAAATGTAAAAATTTAAAATTCACAAGGTTCTTCCTTTTCACTAAAGCAGACATTAAACAAACGTAAGTATCAGTCTCCTCAATCTTTCCTTCATTTTTTAATATTATGTATACTTTTTTCTCTTCTAAAACAAAACACCATCGTTTTTCTTTAATCTTTCCTCACAATCTGAACAGAATGGTCCATTATTTATCTGAGGCAATGGCAGGGTGTAATGAACATGCTGACTTACTAACAGAGGAATAAGAAGAATTATTTCAAATCTCATAGTTTTTTTTATATTATTCTTTCACAAAGTCAGAGTCAGGGGTTTATTTTTCAGCATGCCCACGTCACTACTGATTGTAACACAAATTTGAGATTTAAAGTGGGTTTAACAGCAATACTATGGAAAAATTGTCCAATCTCCTCTTGGTATTTCCTTTTTTGAGGACAACTCAGATGCCAGGCAATAAACTCAGCCACCTTCTGAAGGAGAGGTATTGCTTGAAAGCAATGATGTGGCACAAGGCTGAAAGTATGGGGCACCCAGTGAGGATCAAATTCACTAATTAGTTGTAATTGATCTAGAGAGACAAGCTTGTTAACAATTGCACTATAATGAGGTACCATAGTCAATGTAGAGTGTATCTGAATGAGATTGTTGTAATGGTATAAAGGAATAGGTGAATATTATGAGACTATGTAGAAGTTATTCTGGGTTTAGTTTTGTAGTATTATATAAATAGTAAATCTGCCCTTCTTTATTTTTTAGCCATGCTCCTGAAATTAACATTTTACAGTAGTTTTCTAGCAGAAAATAGATACTGAATGATGGAAAAAAATGATTAACATTTGTTGTGTCTTTTCATAGGTTTATGCATGGATGGTGCAATGGTTAGCGGCTCAAAACAAGAAATTGGTAAGTTGAGTATGAATTCTTGTCAATTTTGTTACATTCACATTTTCACAAGAGAAGAAGTCACTTGATCAAGTATAGCTGGACAAGCAAATAAGTGGGCCTGGCCACATGTAGTGGGACAAGAGAAGAAGTGGGCCTGGCTACATATAGTGAGGCAAGAGAAGAAGTGGGCCTGGTCATGTGTCCTGGGGTAAGAGAAGAAGTGGATCTGCCCACATGTAGTGAGACAAAAGAAGAAGTGGTCCTGGCCACATGTAATGGGACAAGAGAAGAAGTGGGCCTGGTCATGTGTTGTAGGACAAGAGAAGTGGGCCTGGCCACGTGTAGTGGGACAAGAGAAGAAGCGGGCCAGGCTACATATAGTGGGACAAGAGAAGTGGTGGTCCTGGCCACGTGTAATGGGACAAGAGAAGAAGTGGGTCTGGTCATGTGTCATAGGACAAAAGTGGGCCTGGCCACGTGTAGTGGGACAAGAGAAAAAGTCGGTCTGGTCATGTGTCGTAGGACAAGAGAAGTGGGCCTGACCATGTGTAGAGGGGAAAAGAGAAGAAGTGAGCCTGACCATGTGTAGTGAGACAACCTTTTCTCTCCCTCTCTTGTCTGGCACCAAAATCTTTTTATCTTAAAAAGTCCTCTGGTTTTTGTGCCTCCAAATGATATGAATAAATAACATCCATCTTAGACATCTAATGACAAGAGGTGATAATTGTTTTTAGTTTCTGCTTAATGAAACTTTGCCCCATTTTGTTCATAATTCTTATTTAAAAATGAAAAAAATTAAAACTTCACTATTTTCCAAATATACTGCAACTGTTTGGTGATTAAGTAAACATAGCAATAATTATCTTCTATCAATTTTGTAAAATTGTCATAATTTATCTTAAATAAGTTTCATTTAATTCAAATATGTCAAGAGTTTAGCACTTTATCAAATTAAAAATAATATTTTAATTAGTAATTTAATCTATTTATTGGCTCAAATGACATTAAAACTTTAGGATATAATAGGATGTAACATTGCCTCCAAAGTCTATGGTTAGTAATATTGGAAGAAAAGATTTTAGATTTCACATTGGTGCAAATGACTTTGAGACATCCACAGGTGAAACTGAAAACTAAACAGAAGACTAAATGCATCCACTTGGCGTAATTGATGACATCGTTATTGAGTTGAGCTGTATTAGTTGTTGAAATGATTACTGCTAATAATTTTCAAAATGAATTACAACTTCTTTTTGTTTTTTCTTTTCTGAAACATTAAATTAAAAAAATCTTTTGTATAAGTTGTGTATTTAAAATTAAAACCAAAAATGCTTATTTGTGGTGAAGGCTCACATGTTCAGTTGCAAAAAAGTCACTGAATCATGTGTATTAGCTGATGCAAAAACAGAAAAAATGGACAGAAATGTGATGCCAGTTTTGAAATCTCTTCCGTACAGACTATTTGTTGATAGTATTTTCATTCAGGCTAATAATGCTGTAAGCTTTGATTACTTTTTTGAAAATGTTCCACTGCAATGTATCATCATAATCTGTTATTTGTCAATAAAAATGTTTGATTTTAGAGCTTTTTGTTTATTTTTATCGATAAAGGTTTTGTTTATTTTTATCAATAAACTTTTTGTTTATTTTTATCAATAAGGTTTTTATTTATTTTTTATCAATAAGGTTTTTATTTATTTTATCAATAAGGTTTTTATTTTTTATTAATAAGGTTTTTATTTTTATCAATAAAGTTTTTATTTATTTTTATTAATAAGGTTTTTGTTTATTTTTATCTATAAGGCTTTTGTTTATTGTTATCTGTAAGGGTTTTGTTTATTTTATCAATAAGGTTTTTGTTTATTTTTACCAATAAGGTTTTTGTTTATTTTTACCAATAAGGTTTTACATTAATGTTACTTTTTACAAATAAATAACATAAATTTTGCAAATTCTAAAGAAAATTTCCACAGTACTGTTAGTCATTGCTGTGGTGCCCTCATTTTTAAGGGGTTAACCAAGGCAATTTTTATCTCTCTTTGTCTTAGACTAAACTCATCCCTGCACTTATTCTAATGAACTATCCTTGATACTTGGACTGCATGAATTTAACATACCACTAGATTAGCAAATAAGTCTCAATATTTTACTGCTGAAATTGCGAGATGCATCTGTAAGTTTTACTCTAATTATTGGTTTGAATCCTTGTGGGAATGACTGTAAAACACTTTCCCTACCCTTTTATAGGCAGAAGCACACAAATGCATGCTGGGATTTTTTTTTCTAGCCAATAAAATAGACCGGTTTGCAGTTTCATCTGACTCAGTCCCAATCTGTCTTGACTTAAAGTTAGAATGCTATATTTGTTTGTCTGAACATGATTTTGTATGTCAATGGCAATTCTTAGTTTGTGAACTTTTTTCCAAATTACTGTTTCTTTGCTTTATTATTGTTTATTTGTCTTGCATATATTGTTTGTTTGTTTTATATTTTTTTGTCCTGTTACTTTCTTTTCTTTTTCTTGTTATTGCTTATTGCAAACTTTGTCAATTCTGTTTGTTGGTTGGTTCTGTTATTTATATTTGTTGTGGACTTGTTAGGGGCCAGAAATAAAGACACAAGAGAGTAACTGAGTTAAACAAATATATTAACAGAAACAGGAATACAAACATATACAAACGAGCGTGTTACAGCAAGAATGTTCAATCCAACTGTCAGAGCTGACTGCTGGAAACTTCCCTCTTCAAAAGGCAATACCTGCTCCTATTTAAAGCTGGGAGAGTCCATGCATGTGTGGGTAAATTACCATAACAATTTTGCATTTCGTCATGACTCCTCATTCCATGCTGATAGTTTTTCTCACACTTTTCACCTATGGAACTCTCTTCCAGTTTCTTGCTTCCCTACAATCCTCAAAAATTTAAATGCAATGCCAATTGTCATCTTCTGAATTCTATTCTTTTATGGTCCTTTCCCATCAATAATATCTTCTCATCTTTCCCACTCAGTAACACCTTGCATCTTAGTGCCATTATTACCCTTCTTCAGGTGAAATGATTATCATAGTTCTGGATATATATATATATATATATATATATATATATATATATATATATATGATATGAACAAATTTTACTACGTTAATAAAAAACACCGATTAAAAAAAAAAAAAAATAAATAAATGTATAAGATAAGAAACAAAAAATAAACATAAATAAAATCAAGAAATAAAACCAGTTGCTAATTTTTACTTACCCAGTATGTATAGTCTATATTCTTTCATATATATATATATATGAAAGAATATAGACTATATATATATATTCTTTCATATATATATATATATATATATATATATATATATATATATGAAAGAATATAGACTATACATACAGGGTAAGTAAAAATTAGCAACTGGTTTCTGTTTTTCAAAGCTGTCAGTTGTTTCTTTGCTATTTGTATCACAGTTCACAGTTAGGTAGAAACCAATAAAAGACTTGTATCTCACCATTTCTTGGTAAAGGGAATTATTAAGGAATTATAGTAATCACCAAAACAAAAAATATTACTGTAGAAAATTAAAAATCTGCAATGATTACCTCATAACTTAAAATGACTTAACCTGTTTATAAGGTATGGTAATATGTACAGTTTCAGGCATCCCTTGTTTTTTTTTTTTTTTAGAATTTTTCTTCACAGCTGAAGATGGTCAACGTAGAATGAAAACTCAAAGAACATTTAAACAAGGAGGTAAAAGAATGTTGGTTGGTTGTTTTTGTTTAGCAGCATATCAACACCTCTATGGGTTATTTAATGATGAAGTCTAAATATTTTGTACATAATTTAATGCTTTCAACTACAGATATTTTGTATATAATTTGATATTTTCAGAGTGAAGGTATGTTTTCAGATATGTATTTATAGATCATGAAATGTATTGTTGATAATTTTACTATAAAAATGTATTTTTATATTTTTTTTTAGCATTTCATTGATTGTCGTTTTGCTATAAAAATGTATTGTTGCTCATTTATTATAAAAATGTACTGTTGATTTTGTTTGGGGGTCCACTATTTGCCCATAGTTGGGACCCTAACAGGTGCTACCACCCCAGGTCAGGGTGGACCTGGGAACAATTAAAAGGTGATGTCACATTGCTCAAAACCTTTAATCTCTTGATCAGAAGCTTTCCTGCTGGGTGTAGTGTATCGTCATGCCAGAAAAGCAAGAAATTAATGATTCCTATGGTGATGTAAGTATTAGTTATTTTTTTATGTGAAAACATCCAGCATTTGACTGAGTAGCCAGTCCTATTTTGGGGTGAAATTTGTAAAATCTTTGTATTAAAACAATATTTCAGGAAAATAGGTTTCTTAAGTCCATTGTTATTGCACTTTCTAATACTAATGGGGTTTCCTCCGTTAATTTGAAGCAGTGCGGAACATCAACATTTTGATTATGCCATTATTTTCTCTTCCGGTTACTGTATTTCCTGTATGCTAAGACACTTTTTTTTTCTGAAAAAATACTCTAAAAAATCATACATAGATAAGAAGAAATAAGATAGATAAATAAATAGATAGATTGGAAGAAAGAAAGTTTGAAAGGAAAGATAGATAGGAACAGAATGAGAAAGAAAGAAAGAAAGAAAAGAAAGAAAGACAGGAAAGATAGATAGGAACAGAATGAGAAAGAAAGAAAGAAAAGAAAGAAAGACAGGAAAGATAGATAGGAACAGAATGAGAAAGAAAGAAAGAAAAGAAAAGAAAGAAAGACAGGAAAGATAGATAGGAACAGAATGAGAAAGAAAGAAAGAAAAGAAAGAAAGACAGGAAAGATAGATAGGAACAGAATGAGAAAGAAAGAAAGAAAGACAGGAAAGATAGATAGGAACAGAATGAGAAAGAAAGAAAGAAAGAAAAGAAAGAAAGAAAAGAAAGAAAGACAGGAAAGATAGATAGGAACAGAATGAGAAAGAAAGAAAGAAAGAAAAGAAAGAAAGACAGGAAAGATAGATAGGAACAGAATGAGAAAGAAAGAAAGAAAGAAAAGAAAAGAAAAAAGAAAGAAGACAGGAAAGATAATAGAACAGAATGAAAAAAAAGAAAAGAAAGAAAGACAGGAAAGAAAGATAGAACAGAATGAGAAAGAAAAGAAAGAAAGAAAAGAAAGAAAGACAGGAAAGATAGATAGGAACAGAATGAGAAAGAAAGAAAGAAAGAAAAGAAAGAAAGACAGGAAAGATAGATAGGAACAGAATGAGAAAGAAAGAAAGAAAGAAAAGAAAGAAAGACAGGAAAGATAGATAGGAACAGAATGAGAAAGAAAGAAAGAAAAGAAAGAAAGACAGGAAAGATAGATAGGAACAGAATGAGAAAGAAAGAAAGAAAGAAAAGAAAGAAAGACAGGAAAGATATTTAGGAACAAAATGAGAAAAGAAAGAAAGAAAAAAAAAAAGAAAGACAGGAAAGATAGATAGGAACAGAATGACAGAAAAAGAAAGAAAGACAGGAAAGATAGATAGGAACAGAATGAGAAAGAAAGAAAGAAAGAAAAGAAAGAAAGACAGGAAAGATATTTAGG